GGAGCCAGGCACTCGAGTGAAAGGAGGGGGAGGTGGCGAGAGGCAAGTGAGAAATCAAAAGAAGTAGAAGAAAAAAGCAACACTAGCAGCCAACAAATGACACCCAGAGAGCCGCCCGCTTGGGTGTGTGGAATCCAAGCAGCCCGCGCTTCCCGGTCAAGAGACCGTGGGCGCGGGAAGCAGAGGAGGCCGAGCCAGGGAGAAGAGGGGTGGGGGGTGTGAAAGCACACACCGCAAATTACCAGTTGTTTTGTCTCCCGCTGAACTCTCCGTGAGGCTGCTTTCTTGTACCCCCATTTGCTGGTCTCCAGTAGGAGTCCAAGATGGTGGATCCGCGCTGCGTTATCTGGTAGGGGACCTCTGCATGAATCTCTCCTCGCTCTCCGTTCTCTGTCAGTTTTCTCACTCCATTTGGTGCTTGGCTGAGTTCTTTATCTCTTCATTTGATGTTTCAGGGTTTCAGGATTGTTGTATTCTCTGTTTGGCTTAGTTTTTCAGATCTTTGCTGTGGAGGAATGGCATGGTGCTTCTGCCTAGAGCGCCATTTTGTCCTCGAATGACCAGGTTGCTATGCTTTTGTCTCCTGTGCTTCACACACTCCTCCAAGCTAAGGGATGGAAGGAATTTTGGGATCAACTCCAAGTTCTGCAACTTCTATCCAGTGCAAAAAGATTCCTACCTGACACGTATCCACTCACAGGCAGCCCACAGTTTCCCCAGGCAAACCTGCCTGCTCTCTCTTTAGAGCAGAGACCTTTGGGACAATGGCATCCACCCCCTTAGTTTAATAGTTATCTAAACTGTGCTTCTTGAACATTTACACCCACTGCTCCTTGTTCTGGGGGGCACATAGAACAAATTCACTTACTTTTCAATTGGGTGGCACCTTCCAAATGTGAAGACAGCTGCCACAATCCTTTTCAGAGTTTCTTCGTTGGGCTGAATATCCCTAGATATAGCATCCTCAGTTCAAGGTAACTTCACCTACCTACTCACCCCTTCCCATGGAGGAACACATTCCCTATAATGTGGCCTGATCCTTCAGTATTTTTCTTGGTGTAGGTATCAAAGGAAAAGATGGTCCAGTCGGTGATGTAGGTTTCCCGGGAAATAAAGGTGAAGATGGAAAAGATGGAGTTTCTGGAGACACTGGCCATCCTGGCTCCCCAGGTACCATCCCACATGACACTTTATTCTGGAAAGGTTAGGTTTAGCTTCAAGCCATGCCCCATTCTGATCTTCTGCCTTGATTTTACTTTTAGGACTCCCCGGGATTGCAGGACTGAGAGGAGACCCAGGGCTTCCAGGTTCTCCTGGTCATCCAGGGGCAACTGGGCCCCTGGGACACCCTGGCCTAGTAGGACCTAAAGGTATATGTATTTGTGAGCAGGCAGTGGGGGAAAATATCCTTCCCTCGAAAAAGAACATCAACTACTTTATTTTTGGAGACACGAGCTAAGGATAAGCCACACCCCAGGGGAGTCATTGATTGGACCACATGAGGGATATTGGGAAAGAAAAGGAGGATGAAGATGGAAGGAGGGCAAGCATGAGTGGGAAGAGAAGAATATGGAATCCATGGAGAAAAGAGTTAACAGGAAGGTCATTGCTCCAAAATATGTAGCCTTTCCCTGCCTTAGAGACCAGGGAATGAATTTCTAGAACCAGTTTCTCAGAATTGGCAACTCAAGGTCTTGACATTGCCAGTCTGACTTCTTCTTACAGATATCTAATTAGCTATTACCCTACTTCTGATGCTGTATTAGTCTCTGATAAGTGTCCTGAGAAATCTAGGGTGGGAGTATAGTTTAGAAGTGGTCTGTTCTCCCTTAGGGTCCTAGGTAATGCCTCAGGAAGGACAATAATTTTAATTTTTTAAATTTTATTTTATTGTACTCTAAGTGGAAGTTTACAATTCAAGTTAGTTTCTCATGCAAAAATTTATACATACATTGTTATGTGACCCTAGTTGCTCTCCCTGTACTGTGACAGCACACTCTTCCTTTCCACCCTGGATTTCTTATGTCCATTGAACCAGCTCCTGACCCTTTCTGCCTTCTCATCTCACCTCCGGACAGGAGCTGCCCATTTAGTCTCATGGATCTACTTGAGCTAAGAAGCACACTCTTCACAAGTATCATTTTATGTCCCATAGTCCAGTCTAATCTTTGACTGAAGAGCTGGCCTCAGGAGTGGTTTCAGTTCTGGGTTGACAGAGAGTCTGGGGGCCATGCTCTCTGGGGTTCCTCCAGTCTCAGTCAGACCATTAAGTCTGTTCTTTTCACTAGAATTTGAGTTCTGTACTCCACTTTTCTCCTGCTCCAACAGGGACTCTGTGTTGTGTTCCCCATCAGGGCGGTCATTGGTGTAGCTGGGCACCATCTAGTTCTTCTGGTCTCAGGCTGTTGCATTCTGTGGTTTATGTGGCCCTTTCTGTCTCTTGGGCTAATGCTTTCCTTGTGACTTTGATGTTTTTCATTCTCCTTTACTTTAGGTGGGTTGGGACCAATTGATGCATCTAAGATGGCTGCTCACTAGCTTTTAAGACCCCAGACACCACTCACCAAAGTAGGATGCAGAACATTTTGTTAATAAACTTCGTTATGCCAATTGACCTAGATGTCTCTTGAAAGCATGAGGACCATGACTTTTAAAATGAGAATGTTGCGGTGCCCTTGGAGGTAGGTTGCTACCTCTTGCTGCCCCTTTATGACTCAGAGTTGCTGAAGCTATTTCTGATGTTCTCTCCCTCCAGGCTTCCCTGGACTTTCTGGTTTGCATGGATTAAATGGACTTCCAGGCACTAAGGGTGCCCATGGTACTCCAGGTAAGGATGATCCCCAAGGGTGAGGAGGAAGGCACTAGCTCTTCCAGAAGCCTGGCTAGCCATGAGTTCTCCACTGAAGTGAATCCCATATGCTTGGACCCATCGATCTCCATGCCAGCCCCCCAGCTAGGGGCCCCTTGATGTGGCAAGGAAGGAGGGTGGGGTTTGCCCTACCCAAATGAGCTCTTCTTCCTGTTACTTTAGTACTCAGCCTCTGGTGTCTCTCGGGCAGGCCTCACAGGCCTTTGGCAAGTGAGTTAGGCTTGAGGGCCTCACCCCCACTGAGTTCTGTCCCCCTCCCTCTGCATCTTCTCCTAGGACCTAGTATAACTGGTGTGCCTGGGCCTGCCGGCCTGCCTGGCCCCAAAGGAGAAAAAGGCTCTCCAGGAATTGGCATCGGAGCCCCAGGGAAATCGGGTGTGAAAGGACAAAAAGGTGGCCAAGGTAAGGGAGCTCAAGTCAGGTCTGTAGAAGCTGAGGGGGCCGTCACCCAGGTCATGTGGCTCACAGGATGTCTGCACATCTCTGGGAGTGTCAGAACCCAGTAAGACTGACTACCTGTTGCGAAAGACAGATAGACTGTGCCTACGGTTGTGAGGGGTGTCTGGGAGCAATTGAACAAGTCCCCTCTAGCCTCCAAATTCACTCCCACTCTTCCTTGTTAACCTGAGGGCTTCTCTTGTACTCTTGGCCAGAGCCTGGGCTTAATTGTCCTGAGGAACAGGGCTTGCCCGTTTAGTGAGAAGTTTGCCGGAATTTCCTCAGTGTCTAGTGTAGATGGCACCGGCCTGGACCCTGGGAAAACAGTGTGGCTGCTAGAAGGAACCCATGACTAAGAGGATAAATGTCTCCCCAGGACAGCCACACAGGACGCACTCCATTAGTATTTGTTGGATTTTCTGGAAAGCAGGGTCCACCCTAATCTCTGCCCCTGACTTACCACAATGCCTGAAGTCCCTTTCTGAGACTCCGTTGCCTACCGCTCAAATAATAGGAGTGAATTCTGATTATTTTTCTTTCCTTAGGAATGTTCTGAAGACCCATGTACATCCCACTCAGTGTAACGTAGGAAATGAATCCAGTGTAGCAGCATGGTCAAGAGGGTGGGCTCTGAAGTCAGACCAGCTGGGTTCAAATTCGTTTCGCCTCTGACTTACCTTATATTACCTTCAACAAGGAAGTTACTTACCCCTCTATCCCAAATGAACTCTTAGTTGTCCTTTTCTGTAAAATGGGCATAATAAGAGAACCGACCTCATAGGATTTATGAGGAATCAACGACGAATGAGATAATTTATATAAAAGCAGTAAGTGCACAGCCTGACGCATAATAGTTGCTCAAGAAGTATTGACTACTATATTATTACATGTTACCTGGAAAATCATATTTGTACAATGTTCTGTACCTCGTAGCTCTGGGCCCTGAGAGCCTACCATACTTTATTTGTTTATGTGCACGCTTGTATAACGTGCGTGTGTTTTCCAGGAACTGTATTCAAACATTAATTCATTTCCTACTGCATTTTGAATTGGTGTATCTGCTGTTCCCGTGTTTACTCTTTCCTTTGGTCTGGACCGACCTGTTCTTTTCTGAAAGCCAGCAGCTTCTCCAGAAGAAAGACTCGAAGCAGGGCCCAAGCCTGAAGGGGGGTTGTGTGGAACAGATAGAAAGACAGGGGCATTTCCTTTTCCATTTTCAAACCCTGACTGTGAATGTCTGGGCATTCAGTTATTCATTAGCTTTAGCTATCTGAGGTAATAAAATCACATTTACAAAGACAGTCATCACTACATGTCCAGATGGATAATGTCGGGAACATAATGTCGGACAACCACCACCAAAAAAGTTGCAGAGAAATACATTTGATATGATTCTAGTCAAATGTTCAAAAATAAGCAAAAACAAACAATATATTCCTTAGGGATACAAATATACATGGTCAAATTATGATGAAAAGGAAGGGAATGATTAAAAACAAAACTTCAGGTGTGGTTGCCTCTGAGTGGATCCCTGGGTGACACAAACAGGTTGCCCTTGGCTACTAACAGAAAGGTTGGTGGTTCAAATCCACCCAGCAGTGCTACAGAAGAAAGGCCTGGTGATGTACGTCTGTAAGATTACAGCCATTGAAAACCCTATGGACCTCAGTTCTACTCTGACACACACGGGGTTGCCATGAGTTGGTGTCGACTCCACAGCAATGGTTTTATTTTATTTATTTATGTGCCTCTGAGGGTGGGCTCTCTGAGGAGCATGTAGAGAAATTCAAAGATAACTGTTTCTTAAATTGGTGGTTGGGACATAGGTGTTCGTTGTATCTGGATTATTCCTTACATATGTTCTTTCCTCTCATTATCTAATTAAAACAATCTGTTTATAAATACAGCAAGTAGCATATCCTCCCCCATTTGAGCCTATCTCTGATTTGATAATGGAAGTCAGTGTAAAAAGTGGATTTACCCCCAAGAAAATGCCATCAAGCAATCCCTGTCCTTACAATACCTTTATCTAAATAACTTTAAATTATGCCATTAATTTTCACATTTTCACTATTGAGAGGGTGCATTTGTATATTTAGGGTTTTTTATGCTTTGACACTGGAACGAGTTGGAAAAATGCATCTTGCATTTGCATGTGCTCATTTAAAGTGTTTTATTTTGTGTGGGGGGGGGGCGGTAAATATATATGTAACAAAACATTTGCCGTTTCAACATTCTTCACATGAACAATTCAGTGGCCTCACTTGTATTCATCAGGTTATGCGTCAGTCACCATTATCCATTTCTATATTTTTTCATCACCCTTAACAGAAGCTCAGTGTATAGTGTTTTATTCTTAGTTAAAGAAAAACATGAGCTTTTTGCACTACTTAATGTTAGTAGTGTCTTTATTTCAGTGCAATTATAAAATCAACAAACAGGTAAGGGGAAGAGGAGGCTCCAAACACTGCCATGGGAATTTTTTATAATCTCTATGCTGCCCACACTTGCTCTACTCTAAGTGGTGTCTTGTTTATCAGTTTTGCATAATTTTTAGCTTCTCTATATATTATATATGGAGCCCTGGTGGCAGTGGTTAAGAGCGCAGCCGCTAACCAAGAGGTCAGCAGTTCGAATCCACCAGCTGTTCCTTGGAAGTCCTATGGGGCAGTTCTACCCTGTCTTATAGGGTCGCTATGAATTGGAATTGACTCATCGGCAACGGGTTTGGTTTTGGTTTTATATATTATATATACATACATATATAGCTATATTTTCGAGAGAAAAACATACAATATGTCTTTCTTTTCAGAGCTTAACCTTTATGAAAACGAAAACTTCTTCAAAGGTTCGCCAAGATATAACTGATGATGCTATAAATAGCATCCTGTGGATTCGCAACTAATTTTTCTTTCTTCGTTTTCTTTTCCTGACCTAAATAACTGGATAACGGGGGGCTCTTTTCTCCAAAATTATTTTTGTACACTTCTTCAGAAGTCAATTAATTAGATAATGAGCTATTTTTAAAACACCTGAGTTACCCAAGCTACTATCTTCTTTTACAAGGTTTCATGGATTTACTTTTTAGAACTAATATAAAATGAGAAGTTCAACATATTTTTGCATTTTCTTGCCACAAAAAAATAAAATTCAACAGTAATATTTTTGAACTTTGTCACAAACAAAAAAATGAGACTCTCAACCATCAGAACAGCTTATGTATCAATTTGAATCTGTTTCTCTTCATTTGAATATCTTCTAGAATGCATAAATAGGTTTTTTCCCATGCTTCATGGATAATATGAACTTCCACATTTGCATATATAGTTCGATGTATTCTGCCATCGAGATTATAATCTATGTACTTGACATGTGAATATTAAATAAATTTTCTGTAATCTGCTGAAATTTTTGGTTTTGAACATGTTACAATAGAAACCATCCCACAAACAGAAAAAAACACGTAAAGCAGTATTAAATTTGAGCAAACAAGTTTCTGTATCTACTTTAATGAATGACTGTTCTCTTTTGCCAAAAAAAGGGGGGATATAGAACAGAGAAATGTGTTTTATAGGTAACTTTCCTGGAAAGCATTCATTCAGCTCAGATCTTGAATTACCTATAAAAGATTGTTTTCCAGTTTGCCACTACCTCTAGAAGATGCCAGGAGACAAGGCCCTTGCTGGCCTCCATTTTGATTGGGATGATGTCCGTTCTGACTGGTAGGAGCCTGCACCCTACCACTATCTGTAACCTTCTTTGTGCAGCATCAGACATAACTGGCTAACATAAGAAATGTGTTTTGATGATGACAGTAGGTCTAAAAACACTTTGGGAAACTTAAATTCCAAGTGCTGTAGTCATGCCTTCTTTCCTTTCTGATTTGAGGGAAATTTGCTACAGCCTAAAATATTTCCACTGTCAATGACATTGGGGAGCTAAACCTTTCCCAGTTCTATCCGAATAAAAAGCAGCTCCTGCTAGGAGGAGCGGAGGTGTCTCTGAGCTCTTGTCATTTATGTGTCTTCCTTGCTGAGAAGGAAGGTGGGATGACGGGGACAAGAGCCCTCTGCTGGTGTTCACTGGTCTGGCTCCTACCTAATGGCTTCCATTTTCTCTGAGAGAGCCTGGCCCTCTCGCTCTTGGACACACAAAGCCCATCCAGCCCCTTTTACTTATTCTTTGCAGGTTTCCCAGGTCTCCAAGGCCCTGCTGGTCTCCCTGGTGCCCCAGGCATCTCCTTGCCCTCAGTCATAGTAGGACAGCCTGGCGACCCCGGGCGACCAGGCCTAGATGGAGAACGAGGTAAAGACAGAAAGCCCAAAAGAGGGATGGCCAAGACCTTTGGCTTGGAGTTTGGGGAGGCTCTGTATACAGTCCAGCTCAGTCCTTATTGCTGGACATGCATGGACCTGCTTGGCCTCGCATCACTCCCCCCAGCAGGGATGCAGGGGACTGCAACGGACTGCATTATGCTAAAAGGGTTTGGGAAGGTTGGGCGCTGGGATCCCACAGACAACATTCTCTGCCCTGGGAATGGGCTGTGGCTTCCAGTCAGTCCCGAGGCCTTCAGCAGTGGCCACTTCTGCTCACCTGCTCCTCATCCCTCCCTAATCTTATCCCTAGGCCGCCCAGGCTTTCCCGGGCCCCGGGGTCCCCCTGGGCCAGCCTCGGATCAAGGCGACTCCGGAAACCCTGGCGTCCCTGGAATTCCTGGCCCTCAAGGGCCCAAGGGAGACCAAGGAATCCCAGGTTTCTCTGGTCTCCCTGGAGAGCTAGGACTGAAAGGTATGGCTGCTTGGTTGGCTGCTGGGCCCTTCCCCACTCCATGGTCAGAGCTGGCCCCTTCCTGCAGCCCTGCGAAGAGAGACCAGCTGATAATGCTCTCCCCTACCTCACCTCTGCTTGCTGTCAGCGCGCTACCCACCCCCCCATGCCAGGCCCTGACTTGCTTCCCTTTGGACTTTGCTAGGCATGAGAGGTGAGCCTGGCGTCATGGGGACTCCAGGCAAGGTTGGGCCACCTGGAGACCCAGGACTTCCCGGGATGAAGGGGAAGGCAGGGCCAAGAGGTGAGTTGAGAGCATGTGCTAGGCTGGCCCTGAGCTCGAGGGAAGGGTGTGGGGTAAGATTCTTTCAGAAATCACTGGATGCCTGAAGCAGCCGAATCAAGCTCCTCTGGGGGTTGTGTTTGCACTCAGATCACCAGCCACCCATTTGCTCAATCCGGAAGTGAAGAGTCATCCTTTACCACTACCCCCTACACACATCCAATCCATTAGCAAGTACTGAGGGTTCTACCTCCTAAAAGTGCCTTGCAACCACTCACCTCTCTTCACCTCCAGCACTACCACCTAGGTCCAAGCCACTGTCATGTCTCATGTGAACCACTGCAATGGCCTGCTAACTTGTCTCCTTGTTTCCTGCATCCCCAACAATCATTTCTCCACACAGCAGCCAGAGAGATCTTATAAAAACAGAAATCACCCAATGGCTTCTGTGTCATAGGAAGAAACTACGGTCCACAAAGCCCTCTCTGATGCCTTCCTCTTAATCTTCATTGCCAGCCCTCTCCTTTTGGTGCTTACTGTGCTCCTGCCACAGGACCTTTGCACATGCTAATTCTACTTCCTGGAATGCCCCCTACTCTTCAAATGGCTAGCTCCTTCTAATGCTTTAAAGGTCTCAGCTTAAATGTCACCACTTGTGAGAGGGCACTGATCACCTTGTCTAAAGCAGGTTCCTACATCTCATACCTGCCTTGGCTCCCCTTCTCCCACTGTCACTACATTATCTATTTCCTTCGTAGCACTTCTCACAACTTGCAGTAAGAGTATGGTGTTTGTCAGATTATGCGTTTTCCATCTTTATCTCTAGACCATAATCTTCATAAAGGCCTGTCTTAGTCACTGCTCTGTTCCCAGGTCTACCAGGAGCCTGGTGCATAGTAGGCATTCAGTTGTTCAATGAATTAGAAAACAAGCTGGCATGTCTGGCTTCCATTAGTAAGCCAGCTGGCAGGGGTTGGAATCCTAGGCTGTGATGCCAACTGAACCTCTGGGATTGGACACATCCCCTCAGTCTCCTTGCCACTGCATTTTAACCAGTAAGTGAGCAAACCAACCGCCCCAGCCCTGAGCAAAGGTTCAGCCTGCCATATCTACAACAATTACTTTCTGACTGCCTACCACATATCAGGCTGGACTCAGAGGAGACAAGATGAATATGACCCACTCCCTGCCCTCAAGAAGCTACCAATCCACTCAGGAGATAGATGGGTAGAGAGGGCATGAGGTAAAGGGTGGTGAGAGCTCTCTTGGAGGTATCCTGTGGGGATTAACAGGAAGGGCAGAGAGCTTCTGGTTGCTAGGCAGAAAGGAAGGCACCCGGAGCCCCGCTGGTGGCCTCCTCCTCTGCCTCAGCCTGTCATTTTCATTTTCCCCACCTACCCACAGGCTTTTCTGGCCCCCAAGGTGTTCCTGGACAAACTCCAATCGCAGAAGCCATCCAGGCTCCTCCTGGACCTTTGGGTCTACCAGGCATCGATGGCATCCCTGGCCTTGCGGGGGACCCAGGGGCTCAAGGCCCTGTAGGCCCACAAGGTGAGGGGGATTCCAGAGGGGGGCTTCTTGGGAAGCTGAGATGGCTTTGGCTGAAGCAAGCAGCTTGGAACCCCAGCTTCAAGGGGGCACTTTCCACAAGCATTTCCTCTGTTCCTCCATGAAGCTCCCAAGCTTCTTGGCAGGAGGAGAAGGACCAGCAGGGCCAGCAGGGCAGTGGTTGCACCTGGCTGCAGAGAATGTGCAGGCAGGGCATGGGAGCTACTCCTGACAGCTTGTCCCTCTGTCTCTCTCTAAGTGTTGCTGAGCAGATGGAGAGAGTGAGTGGTGGATAAAGAGCAACACAAGGCAGTAGAGAAAGCCCTGGGCTGTGAAACAGGAGAGCTGGCTTCTCATCCTAGCTTTGCAGTAACTGGAGTACGTTAGTTATCTGTCTGCGCCCCTGTGTCCTCATTCCCGATACGGGACGGTATCAATTGCCCCGCGTACTTCGCAGGGTTGCTTGGCGGATGAGAGGATGGGAGGAGAAAATGGTGTGAAGGGGCTCAGAGTGCTGCCCCAGCAGCAGAGATGCTTAGGTCTTGAACTAAGGCCTAGTCCAGGCTGGCTTCAGCCTGCCGCTCAGTTTGCGCACCAATTTTGACAGCCAGTTTGCCCTCTCCTGGTGAGTCGTGGACATGACACACGAGGCCCCTTTCTCTGGAGTGGACTCTTCAGGATTCTTCACATTGAGTATGCTCTGTGCACCTTCTCTCCTTGCAGGTTCCAAAGGTTTACCTGGCATCTCTGGCAAAGATGGCCCCAGCGGGCTCCCAGGCCCTCCTGGGGTTCTTGGCGATCCTGGTGTCCCTGGACTGCAAGGCCCTCCAGGATTTGAAGGTCTGGCGATGTCAGCGCCAGGGGGCAGAGGGCTTCTGTGAGGACTTGAGGCTTGAGGAGTCAAAAACTCAAATCTGAGAATTAGTAAACCTAGTGGCAGAGCTGGACACTAGCCTCCAATGCCATCGAGTCGATTCTGACTCATAGCGACCCTATACTGGGCTCTAACCCATTCACCTCTGAGCCTCTGAAAGGATGCCCTACATTCTGGAAGGCAAAGGACTTCTCCAAATCCTTTTCTGGGTTCTCTTCCAGCTCTTAAGAGTTATGACTCTATATTATAGCATGGCCCCTTGCCCTTCACCTCCCTCTTTCTACCCAGGGATTCTGACATGGATGGGAGGGGGTGGTTTAAGGAATAATAAAATTTGAGGTAAGGTATGGCTGTTCATACCTCTGCTACTTAGCTCCCATTTTACATCTAGGATGGCAAAATCAATTGTCCTGAGTAGAGAACGGTTCTGAGGCTTGGTGGGAAAGTGTTGTGACTGATTAGCCATGTCTGCCATGGGCGCGAGAGGAGGGCGTGATTTTGCCACTGTTAATCTTAACATGCTCGGCTGCTAACCAGAAGTTTGGAGTTCAAGTCTGCCCAGAGGTGCCTCAGAAAAAAGTCCAGGCGATGTACTCCTGAAAAAATCGGCCATTGAAAACCCTATGGAGCACAGTTCTACTCTGACACACATAGGGTCACTGTGAATCAGAGTTAACTCAGTGGCAGCTGGTTTTGGGTTTTAATCTTAACTCTGCTTTTTCCTCTGGTTCAGTTTTCAGGCAGTTAGTTTTCCCCTAGGAGCCCTGGTGGCGCAATTGTTAAGCACTTGGCCGCGAACCGAAAGGTTGGCAATTCAAACCCACCCAGTAGCTCTGCAGAAGAAAAACCTGGTGATCTGCACCCGTAAAGATTACAGACTAGAAAACCCCATGGGGTAGTTCTGCTCTGTCACATGGGGCTGCTATGAGTCAAAAATCGACTCAATGGCACCCAACAAAAACAACCCATTTTCCTCTAAGAGGGCCTACCGGACTGGGTCTGAGAAGTAGCTCACTCTGCCCCTCATCTCCACTCCAAGGCCAGGTGGCTGTGGGAGGAAAGCAGGATAGCATACTTGTTAAAAGGGACTCTGCAGCCGGATACATCTGAGTTGGAGTCCCAGTTCTGCCACTTATTAGCAATGTGACCTCTGAGCCTCAGTCTTCTCATCTACACATTGGGGTAGTAATAGTACCATCTCAGGTTTGTCATGAGGATTGAGTGAGATCATGCATGTACAGAATATGTCTTGCACAATACTTGACACAAAGTGAGTGATATTATGAGTAGCACCAGGCTCACCCCTTTTATGCTCTCTCCCTCTCAGGAGCTCCAGGGAAGCAGGGCCCCTTGGGGAGGCCTGGAATGCCTGGCCAGAGCGTGAACGTGGGCTACACCTTGGTGAAGCACAGCCAGTCGGAGCAGGTGCCCCTGTGCCCTGTCGGGATGAGCCAGCTGTGGGTGGGTTACAGCTTGCTGTTTGTGGAGGGGCAGGAGAAAGCCCACAACCAGGACCTGGGTAGGTACTGGCTCTGGCAGCCAGCCCTGGTCATCTGTCCCCACAGAGACCAAGAGTCAACCTCCTCTCCCCTCCTACCCCTTGATGGGCCCACTGTTGTGTAGTGAGTGGGTTACGAGCCCCAGCTCTGGAGTCAAGCAGATCTGAGTTCAAACCCTGGCTCTACCACTTACTGGCTGTGTACCCTGGGCAAGTTATTCAGCCTCTCTAAGCTTCAGCTTCCTCCGAGAGGGAACAAGGCTAATCCTAGTACCTATCTCATAGGGTGGTGTAAGAATAAAATGAATCACCGAATGTAACATGCTTAGAATAATGTTTGGTGCCTATCAAACATCCATTAAATGTTAGCAATTATTAGTAGTAATAATAGGAGCTGCAGGGCAATGATGATTACCCAAGAATTAATTGTATTGTCTATAGGTGTGCTGACTCGTAGACGCCGTCTATTAAATGCAGGTTTTACAAAGCAGGTTAATTAGGAAGGCATTCTTCAGTTTATTAATAAGATTCTTTTCATTTAAAATAGGATTTGATCAACCGACTTCAGCATGCCTAGAGTGTTACAGGATTGTAAGGAGAGGAGGACCCTGGTCTGGTAGATGCAGTTGAATAACCACCATCTAGTCCAGTCCTAGTGGCCCTGAGATAATTCCAGCCCTGCCCCTCAACCAGATCTTACCTGCCCCTCCCACCTTCTCTCCTTGCCAGGGTTTGCTGGCTCCTGCCTGCCCCGCTTCAGCACCATGCCCTTCATCTACTGCAACATCAATGAAGTGTGCCACTATGCCAGGCGAAATGATAAATCCTACTGGCTCTCCACCACTGCCCCTATCCCTATGATGCCTGTCGGCCAGACTCAGATTCCCCAGTACATCAGCCGCTGCTCTGTGTGTGAGGCGCCCTCACAAGCCATCGCTGTGCACAGCCAGGATGTCACCATCCCACAGTGCCCCCTAGGCTGGCGCAGCCTCTGGATCGGATATTCCTTCCTCATGGTAAGACCAGCACTGCTTCTCCCTCAGTGGAGAGTCAGAGGGCAGGGAGCTCTGGGAGGTTCTGTCGGACTGGTTCCTAGGCTCAAGGGACATAGTAGTCATAATATGACCTGCAGGGAGTTTCAAAGGAAGGAAGGTGCTTGGCCTGGGCTTGGCTAAAGACCAGAAAGCCCAATTCTGCATCAATGGCGGGTAATTGTGGGTATGGGTGCAGTTTGCACCCAGTGGTTCAGGGTAAGAATATCTGTGAATCACAGCCAAAGACCCTAACATCTCCATGCTTGCTGCAACCAAGGGAAGGTAGAAGCACAGAAAGATCTGGTTGGGTAGTGAGGGAGAGGCTGTCCCCGCTCAGGGCCTCAGGCACTCTCTCTGGTCAGACTGGGCATGGCATGCCCCTCCATTCTACCCACCACTTAGGCCCCTCTGGCCACTGCCATCTCCTCCCTAGAGGCTCAGTATGTCCATGTCCTTGCTGGAATTTTTGCTGCCTTTCCATCTTAGTGGGAAGGCAGTGGCCAGGAGTGCCGTGTGTCTTACTAATAAAGAGCTTAGAACATCTGTTAAGTCCAAGGAGGCAGCAGGCCCCTGTAATGAGTTTGCAGGAATTTGGAGCTGACTAAGGAAAAAGATATGACCACGCTATTGGGGCCAAGACATTGGCAGCCACACACAGGGGGACGTCCCCCACAGCAGGAGGTCTGCCAAAGGCAGGGGGCACAGGGAGCCACCAGAAGGGGAAGAGAGCATGACAAACCTTGGGGAAGAGGAGAAGGGGGGAAGCTTAGGTGTCCCTAGGCAAGGTCCCCCTGCAGCAAGGTGGGGAGTCCGTGGGTTCAGAGAACTCTGAAGGCAGCAGCACCTTAGGGTCCTTATAACTATAGGGTTTTATCTTATCTAGGGCTAGCAGATGTTGGGTGCAGTCTCATGGGATATGTCAAACAGGCAGGCTCTAAGTGGCTAAAAATCTACTTATTTGGGCTATTTTTAAAACAACTGAATGTGTACACACATTTGAGTTTGGCACCGGCAGGCTTTTTCGGGCTAACAGGCTTCAGCTTGCTACAAAGTAAATAACTTTGGGCCAATATACAGAGGCCATTTTTGACTTATTTATATAACAGTCCCTCACACGCTATCCAGTGACTATCTGGGGGCATTTCATCAGAAGAAGGTCAGGTTTACAGCCAGAACAACTCCCAGGGAAAACCAGTGTGGTACCCTGTCTTCGTCTGGGTTCTCTAGAGGAGCAAAACCAGTGAAGTGTATATAGATACATGGAGGGAGAAATTTACTTCAAGGAAATGGCTCATGCCATTGTGAGGAAATGGCTCACATAATTGTGGCGGCTGGCAAGTTCCAAATCTGTGGGTCAGACGACAGGCTGGAGACCTCTGCTGGCTCATGTTGTTGCAGGGGCTGATGAACCCAAAATCTGCAGGTCAGGTGACAGGCTGGAGGCCTCTGCTGGTTTATGTCCCAAGAACCGGAGATCAGACAACGAGAAGATTGCAGGGTCAAGAGAGAGAGTGAGCTTTGCCAGAACATCCTTTATATACTGGATGCAGGCCCCACCCCCAAGGAAACTCCCCTTCCAACTGATTGGCTGTTCACATCAGATTACAAACTGGAGGATGACTACATAGTGTCTGCCAAACCACTGAGAATCATAGCCTAGCTGAGTTGACATATAACATTAACCATCACACACACCCTGAAGTATGCTGCCTCTTCTGAGCTGCTTTGCTGAATCCAAGGATCACGACCCTGAACCCTCAGGGCAAAATTTCTGACCAAGCATACAAGGCCAGGAGTATAATGGTGAGGGAGTGTATTTGAACAGTTACCAAAGCTTCAGGCTTCCTCACATTAGTGAACCTATCTGGGGTGTGCTAGTTACTGTGGCTGCCGTAACAAAGTATTACAAACTGGGTGTCTTAAAACAACAGAGTTTATTCTCTCATAGTTCTGGAGTCTAGAAGTCCGGTCAGCAGGACCATGCTCCCTCTGAAGGCTCTCGGGGATACTCCTTCTCATTGTCTTGTCCAGTTTCTGGTGGCTGCTGGCAGTCCTTGGCTTGTAGATTCATCGCTTCAGTCACTGCCTCCATTGTCACATGGCATTCTTCCCTCTGTGTCTGTGTCCAAATTTCCATCTTTTTATGAGAACACCTGTTATTGGATGAGGGCCCACCCTAATCTTAAGATGACCTCATCTTAACTTGATTACATCTGCAAACACCCTGTTTCCAAATAAGGTCACACTCAGGTACTGGGGGTTAGGACTTGAACATATCTTTCGGGAAGACGCAGTTCAACCCACAACACAGAGTAAGGTACTTCCTTGTTTTGCCCTGTGTTTGTGAATTGGGCAGTTTATCCCAATATAATACATAATCACCTCTCCTACCATTCTTTCCTGTTTACCACCAAGACCAGGAAATAAGGAGCAAAAGCCTGTATGCTTCCACAAGAAGCTATGTGCTAAATCTCGTGTACTTTGCTCATGGGAGACCTCTTAAGCCCTTGTTCAGAACCTCTTTACTCTTAGTTTACACATAATTCTAAAGTACTAGAATATCTCCTTTTTGTGAAAATGTGAAAGTGTGGGAAGCTGGACTGTTTAGTAAGGCATCTTGAAGCAATGAGACATGCCTGCTAAAATGGAGAAAACTAATGCAAGTAGGTCTAAGAACTCTGTAAGCTGTGGCCTTTGGTATGGGGCGCTTGCATAATCACCTGACACAAAAACTGACTTTCATGACAACCCTGACTCATCTTGCAAAGTTCAAAATACACTGTGTCTGGAGTTTAATGAGGCAGGGAAATGTGTTGTTCATTTTAGGAAGTTTACTATCTGAGGATCAAAATGAGGAAAGCTTGGATGCTTCAGTTATCAGGAAAAGTCACTTATATGGTGTCTTAGCCATCTAGTGCTGCTACAACAGAAATACCACAAGTGGATGGCTTCAACAAAAAGAAGTTTATTTTCTCACAGTATAGTAGGCTAAAAGTCCGAATTCAGGGTGTCAGCTCCGGGGGAAGTCTTTCTCTCTCTGTCGGCCTTCTCATCAATGTTTCCCCGGAATAGGAGCTTCTCCGCACAGGGACCCCGGGTCCAAAGGACACGCTCTGCTCCTGGCACTGCTTTCTTGATGGTATGCGGTCCCCCTGTCTCTCTGCTCACTTCTCTCTTTTATATCTCAAGAGATTGCCTCAGGACACAATCCAGTCTTGTAGACTGAGTCCTGCCTCACTAACACAACTGCCGCCCATCCTCCCTCATTAACATCATAGAGGCAGGATTTACAACATATAGGAAAATCACACAATACCGGGAATCATGGCCCAGCCAAAGTGATACACACATTTTTGGGGGGACATAATTCAATCCGTGACATATGGAGACTCTCACTCTGACAGAGTTCTGCAGAGTAAAGTTGCCCTGCGTGTCCAAATTGGGCATTGGCCATTTGCTGACCTGGGTTAAGCCTCTTCCCCACCTCTGAGGTCCAGATAATGATCCAGCTAAGGTGAAGGGAGTGTGGTAGGGGTGTGGAGAGACGGGGCTGCTGTCTATGGGTAGAGTGACTGGAGACTCTAGGCTCAGGATTGGCACTGATGGGAAAATCCTGACATCTCATGCTGAAGGAGCCCCCTGAAGCTAGGCCCGCCAACACTTTTAGGTCAAATACAATGAGGCCGCTTTTACTCAGCAGGTAACAAACCCTATGTTGTTGTTAGGTGCCGTCGAGTCGATTCCGACTCATAGCGACCCTATAGGGCAGAGGAGAACTGCCGCACAGGGTTTCCAAGAAGCACCTGGTGAATTTGAACTGCCAAACTTTTGATTAGCAGCTGATCTCTTAACCACTGTGCCACCAGGGTTCCAATAAACACTATATGTCACCCTAAAAGATGTGGTACAGGTTGAAGATATAAGTAGTTCTAATAAGGGTAACTTCAGAGTAAGAGCTATTGCTAGGTGTGCTGGTGGGGGGAGGATTTCACCAGTTTATGGTTTCACCAGTTTGTGAAGTATTGCATGTCCTTTCCCCTTGTTAGAGTACAATGCACATTAGACAATGAGCTCTGAGAAGAATTGCAAGTTCAGAAACTTACTGAATTTTCCCAGATTTATTTGTTCATGGAAAAGAAATTGGCACCTAACACACCTCCAAATGCAGCAGTTTGGGAAACACTGGTTTAGATGTAGCCATTGCCCGTGCATAATGGGTTAGGAGGGCACTAGGGAGCTTGGGGCGGGGGGAGGTCCCTGGGTGGTGTAAACAGTTAACGCGCTCAGCTGCTAACTGAAAGGCTGGAGGTTCAAGTCCACCCAGAGGCACCTTGGAAAAAAGGCCTGGCAATCTACTTCTGAAAAATCAGCCATTGAAAACCCTATGGAGCACAGTTCTACTCTTACACATATGGGGTCACCATGAGTTGGAGTCAGCTCAGTGGCAACTAGTTAGGGAGCTTAGAGGGGGCCCTCTTGGCTCCAAAGGCTGCTCTGAGGGAGGATGAGAAGCCCCTCCCCTAAAATACAGCTTTTGGTATGCTGGCTAGACACTGGAGATGAACCACGGAACCAGTGCTTACAGACGGAAGCACACATTCTCCTGTAGCAGCCAAGTGTCCCATCATCTCCCCATGCCAGCCTCTGGCAGGCACAGCTCAAACACCACCCTCCTCTCTGTTTCAGCACACTGCCGCTGGGGCCGAGGGTGGAGGCCAGGCCCTGGTCTCACCTGGCTCCTGCCTAGAGGACTTTCGGGCCACTCCTTTCATCGAGTGCAGTGGTGCCCGGGGCACTTGTCACTACTTTGCCAACAAGTACAGCTTCTGGCTGACGACAGTGGAGGAGAGACAGCAGTTTGGGGAGGAACCTGTGTCTGAAACGCTGAAAGCCGGACAGCTCCATACTCGGGTCAGCCGCTGCCAGGTGTGTTTGAAAAGTCTGTAAGGCGGCACCTGTCACTCTGCCCCTTGCCCTCCCCTCCTCCTCACAGCGGTCACCGCACAGACCTGAATGGTCTGAAGAAGGAAGACCCTTTTGCCCATCTGTCAAGTTTTACTCTGGAGTCTCAAATGGGCTGGACTGTTGGACCCTGGTCACCCCAACCCTCGGGCCCAATACCTGAGGCCACCCCACTGAGATCTGCTGTCCCATTTCATTCAGCCTGGTGCTACAGTTGATTTGGATGTTTGCATGACTGTTCATGGCTACCTCAGAAAGACTTGTTGGGACACCACTTTCTTAGACTGCTAGCTTTCCTCACTGTCTTGATCAGAAAGTTCTTCATAATAGCTAGTAAGCCATGTCTTCATGTCCAGGGGTCACCACACATTATTTGACTTAAACCAGAACCCAATGTTTCCACATTAAAAAAATAATTATCTGGCTGAACACTCATGCATGGCTCAAGTCTGCATAGGCCAAGCCCTAACCATTCAAGGAGGCCCGCTGTGTCTAGGCAGGCAACAGAACTAGAATGAGGTGCCCACCAGTAGCCTGGGGTGAGCTGTGACTCCTTCCAGAGTGAGAGTCCCCATATTGCTCAGGGAAGCTTGAAGGCCAGCAGCCAAGTGGCGCTCATTAACTTCAGATGGTCCTAGACAAATCACTTCCTCCTTGTTGGCTCTCTCCCCAGCCAGAGACAGAGAGGGCAGAAGATGCAACAAATGTGGCCAAGCCCATTAAATGAAATGAGAACCACAGTCCTTTTTCCTGGGCTGAGGGTAGAGGGGTGGATGGGTAAGGAGGTATGAATTTTGCTTTTGACTCCAAGAACAAAAAGGTAAATCCCTTGTCCCAATTTCTCAGAAGTTCCTATTTATTCCAAATGCCATCCAGATGCGTGCATTTTAGCAAATTGAAGCTGCAGTGTGTTGGTTCCTTTGCATTTTGAGGCCGTTAGAGACTTTCCATTAAAATGTTCATCCAATTGTTCTTTCACAGGTAGCCTGTTAAACCATTTTAATACATTTTTTTAAAACCTCATAAAAATCTAGCCCGCTCCTCTCTTTAGCAGCTAGCAGACCTAAAGCAAGCCTGGGTTGGCTGTAAAGTGTACTGTATTATGTTTGGGGGGATTTAACCATTTTCTTTAATTACCAGTTTCCCAGAAGACTTAGCTAAGTTGACATGAGGCAGCTCCTTCCAGGTGATTCTATTGCCTTAAGTATTATGTAAACTGTGCCAATGCAGAGAAAACATAATCATCATAATCTGAATTATTGTTACTTTCACCTCCTATTTGAGTAATAAGTATGGCGTCAGCTTTGTACATAGCAAATAAAAGGAATTAAATCTGAACATTTGACTCTTCCGACATTCTTTGATGAAAATTTTTCTAAAGCTCATCTCACACCACAATTTATGAGTCCCCCTCAGAGCTCAGCAGTTCTTATCACTGCGAGTCAAGTTCTGTAACAAAAGATTGAGGCAGGAAAAATTTAGAAGACAATCAAAGTCAAAGGACTTAAAGAATCCTGCTTAAGGAGAAGCCTACAACTACTTTTATCCTCAGCATATGCTAGAGTTCAAGAAAGGAGCTTCCATACTTCTGTCACCTCAAGCTCATTTACAGATAAATCAAAAGTAGAAAAATGTTTAAGAAGTCACTAAAATCAAATATATATTATATATATTTTTATATGTTTATAATATTATACAAGCACATATATAGATACATAAAGGTCTCTGGTTGACACAAGCAGTTTGCGATCAGCTACTAACCTAAAGGTTGAAAGGTTGTTGTTGTTGGGTGCCACTGAGTCTATTCTGACTCTTAGCGACACCCTATGACAGAGCAGTACTGCCCCATAGAGTTTTCTTGGCTATAATCTTTATAGGAGCAGATTGCCAGGTCTTTCTCTCATGGAGTGGCTTGGTGAGTCTGAAGTGCTTAACCATAGTACCACCAGAGCACCTTACCTGAAGATTAGTAGCATAAAATATATTTCCGGAAGGATAAACAAGAAATTAGTAACACTGGGCGATTTCAGGGAAGGAAACTTGTGTGTGGGCGGGAGAGGCATTTTACTGAATACCATTTTGCACCTTTTGAATTTTGAACCACTGGAATGTATTACCTCCTGAAAAAGAGAAAAGTGTGGAATATAAGGAACCAAATGCTCTAATATTCTTAAATATACCCCCAAAATGACTTGGTGCTAGCTTCCAAATCCCAGTTTCAGGACTTCCTTGGGACTTGGTTGAGGAGGAGGTGAAATCCATACAAGCTAAGAGAGCAAGAAAAGGAAAATAGGAAGATTTTACTGGGACTTGAGGTGTAGCCCTACAGGAGCGTGGTTAGCAAAGCTAATTTGATGAGTAAGTGTTCTAAAACTTAGTAAGCTGCTAGTTCTTAAATGGTTCGGAATTGTATTTGAGGTACAGATAAAATGTCAATGCACAAATAATTCTTTCTAAATATGGCTGTCTGCCAAAATGGAGTATAATTCAAACACAATTTATTTTTAATTTCTCAAACAAAAAAAAATCAACAATTTAAGTCAGTGACTGGCCATGTATGACCCACAGGCCAAATCCAGCCCACCACCTCTTTTTGTAAATAAAGAAGTTTTATTGGATCACAGTCACGCTTGTTCGCGTACACATTGTCTATGGCTGCTTTCGCGCTACAGCAGCAGAGTTGAGTAGTTGTGACAGAGGCCATGTGGCCTGCAAAGCCTAAAATAGAAACTATCCGGCCCCTTACAGAAAAAGTTTGCTGACCCCTGATTTAAGCGATCATGATTTGATTTAAGGACAGGGTGACGTCTGACAAAAGTTTCAGAAAGGACAGTGACAGTGACCCATCAATTAGTAAGGTTCCCCCAAATAGGAAGGAAATCAAGAAGGGTACATTAGACATAATTTCTTTAACAAACTTTTGGATACAAATCGTGGTTATTTAAAATACATAGTCAAATAGTTTAACAAGAATTTTTTTCTCCCTGTTTCGGTCACTTTATTATTAGAGCAAGAGAACAGATTGCTTCTTAGTTTTTAGCCCAAAAGAAGTCACATCTGAAAGGGTGAAGAAAATGGAGTAACTGTCTCTCATCTGCTGGTGTCTGAAGCAAGATGAGAACTGCTGTCTCTATTCCAGATGTCCATCTTCACCTTTCAGTTACTGAAGACTTGTTGTAGCCACGTAAGACAAGCTGGGAAGCAACGGCCTTCTCCTAATTTCTCTGCTCCTGGGCTCCACGATTGTTGCATTTCTTTCTGAGGAGGGGCTTTTGTTTTCTTTTCTGAGAAATGGTGATTGGCTCAGTCATGATCGCTATTGAGTTTGTATGCTGTTGGCATATCAGGCACTTGCTGACTGGAAAAGTTTTATGTAATGAGCTCATGTTCGTATGGTGCCAGATGGAAGACAGATCTCCAAGTTGAGTTCCCACTATTCCTTCTATACGCTCAGAATCTCAAACTCCTCCTCCAGGTCACACTCCTCTAGTTGTTCAGTAGAATCAATGAATTCTATCAGAATACAGAAAGGAGAAAGAAAAGTGTGACAGGGTGAAGCCGTCAACATGTTACTCAGTAGCTTAAGATTGTGAAGTTTTAAATCGCTTTGCTAAAGAAAAACGGGTCTGGAGGCAACTTATAGATAGGATCCCTGCCAAGGATGAGAAATCGTCTATAAAGAATCAAAATAACTGGACTCATTACATACTCCTATTCACAATGATGAGGCTGAAGCTCTGCAAGACCTCTGAGGTACCTTTGAATCACCCATGGCCTCTGGCTTTTTTTTCTGAACAGGACTATGGGGAGGAGGATTCTAAGTCATTTTGATTTTGCATAGAACTTGAGCACTGGGCCTATTTTCTTATATTATTCTTTGAAATTGCTAAATATTAGTTCATCAGAAGATTAAAATCATCAGAAATAGCATTCCTTGACCAGGCTAGCTGAGCATAAAATGTATTTTCCATGGAAAGTGTAAGCCACAATTGCCCCTGAACAACAGCTTACCTGCCCCAGTGGTTGTCACTTCTGGCTTGGCTGGAGGTACGAAGGGAGGCCAGTGGGATGGATGTTTCTGAACTAATTCAAACATCCTTAAATTCTCCTTTAGAATTTCCTGAGGAGACACAGAAACAGTTGTAAGCGCTGAAGATTCGCTACATTTCTGTTTTGTAACTTCTATCCAATTGGCAATCTGTGACCCCAAAGCCTAAGAAAATGGTCTAGTTGTTGAAAGGTACAGCCCATCCCCTACTTGACCCATCAGAGGACCAGCCCCCTTCAGTTCTAGATACTGTTTGTCCAGAAGGAAGGGCATTGGAGGGAACAGTATCTGATGGAAAGCCAGTACTCAGTGCACATGCTTCATTGTGAGGTTCAGGCCATATGCCACTTGCACAGGCCCACCTCAATTTAGGGGTGAGATGTTCCTGACGCATTGGTACAAAGAAAATGTTGATTAATCAAACTGAACCCAAGAGAATTTGGTTGCAGGTTTGGCTTGGTTTCAGTTTTAGTCCAACATTCATGATACCTGCTCTAAATTTAAGTGGCATAGTCTTATCAGAAAAGTCTCATTGTAACTTTAAATGTGATATAAATACAATTTCACTGCATTCTAAAATGTAAGTATTGCGTTTAGAAAATCTCTATTCTCTCTCAGCTAATTATTAATTGGGGTTTCTGATTCAGATGGGGACACTAGTGTTAATTATTTGTTCACTTGTGAAGACAGATCTTCCCTCCTTACACTTACAAAGAAGCTCTAGGCCCCCATCTCTGCAATCCCTTTGTTTTTCAGATAGGAGAACAGTGTGTCTCCTGCTACCCCCATCCAGGGCGCTTTAAACTACTCTCTGTGATCTCCCTTTATTCTTCCAATAAATAGTTATCAATGTCTTCCATATATTAGGCATATGTTAGAGCCTGAGACTGAGGGAGGCAGATACAATGATCTGTGAACCAGAGACATAATGCCCTTTTACACAATAAGCTATAAAAAGAAAGAACTCGCTTTAGTATTCACAAGGATTTATGCAAATTCTGCTTCCTGTAAGTGGTAGTGTGCCTATGTTGTTGTCGTTAGTTGCTGTTGAGTTGATTTAGACTCCTGGCGACCCCATGTGTGCAGAGTAGAACCACTCCACAGGGTTTTCAAGGCTGTGACCTTTTTGAAGCAGATCACCAGGGCTGTATTCCAAGATGCCTCTGGGGGGGTTCAAACTGCCAACGTTTTGGCTAGTGGGCCAGTGCTTAACCAATTGCACACACCTAGGGATTCCCTAGTGTGCCTACATTTTATATTAATGAGACAGTTAATAAACAGGCAAGCCCGTTAAACCACGATCGGATGTATGAAGCTGTAAATGGACCTCTAAATGAACAGAAAAGTAGTGTAGTTTCTTCAGCCACCTCAGTGTTATGAACAGAATAAGGAGGTTATTAGGCTGAGCTACATGAAATTGGCATGTTTTAGGTTAAAAGAGTAGATGATTAGTTGAATATTTCATGACTCAATATTTTATATGACTCGTTAGCTTAATCAGATGAAACATTAAGTAGTTAAAAATAGTGTTCACTTGACATACTAAGCCTATTTCAAACAGAAATTTTACTTTGGTTCTCTAAAAGTTAGGCAAAATTCTCCTCATCTCATAATTTCTTTGTTGCCTTAGTTTCTTTCTCTTGCAACAAAGTCATATCAGACTAGGTTTGTGTTTCCATGAAAAACAATCTTGAAAAGTAACTTCCATTGTTTAAAAGACAAACATATCTTTACCTTCTGAACAAGGCGACACCAGTTATCAAAGTCTTTTTCTTCTTTGCAGAAAAATCCCTTGGGGTGGGGGGTGCGGGGAAGCAAAAGAACGTAACTTAGAATTGGCAAGAGGTACTGAGCAGGACCTTTGTATTAGAAGATGGAGTTGTGGGCCCAGAATTAGGATGTGGGCCACTCTCTCTGGACATGTCTTCCCAGAGATATGGAGGAAGATTGGCTGGGCTTTTCTCTCGCCTAGCTCACTGCCCTCCTTAGACAATACACGCATGTTTGCACACATGGTCACTCTTGCGTGCATGTGTGCGCACACATGGCCCCACTCTGTCTCTGTCTCTCTTGCTTGCTCACTGACATTTTCTCTCTGCCTCTAGATCTCTGTCCATCTCCCTTTTTCCTTGTCCCTTTCCCTCCCTGTCCCCCTCCTCTTGTGGTTTGAGATACAGTAACTTGAAGGTCAGTCTCCAAAGTGTGGGGTTAATTCCATTATGTTCAGTACACAGATAAGCCAGCAATCAAAAGTCAAGTAGTACTTTTAGCTAGAGGAACTACTTAGTAAGGTGGCTTTGACCTTAAGGAAATTAGCTATTAGAATAAAGAGAATAGTCAGCCTCCTTCTCCATCCTCAGAGCCATCCTACATTAGTGAAATAATGGTTCAAACCAAGAGGAGGACTCTGTGTGCTCTCAGTTACTGCTGCTCTGACAGTTGGGTTAAACCAGAAGAAGAGATGTAGATGGGCCTCAGAGCCACTGGCTACTTCACAGGAAGATGCTCCTGCAGTGTGTGTAGACAACAGACATCTTTCCAGGAGGTAAAAGCCCCTGCAACTTCCCTGGATTGTGTGCACAGAAAAATGAGCGTGGTCCACCCAGTGGGGCTTGTCTGCTTATCCCTCCCTAGCTAGGCTCCATCTTCTCCCATATGCCCAGGTGGCAATAATTAGAGGGCAAGAAGGCAGGAAAAGGAGGAAGATAATAATACAAATAAGAGCTAATGTTTATAGAATGCTGACTATGTGCCAGGCATTGTGCTAAGTGCTTTACACACATCATACCTCATACAATCCTCACAACAACCCTATAAGGAAGGAATTATTATTTTCCCCCTTTTTAGAGGTGAGAAGACCAAGGCTCAAACAGGTTAACTGACTCCCCCTAAGTCCATAGCTAATAAGTGACAGAGCCTGGATTCCAACTCGAGCAGTTTGGCTCCAAAGTCCATTCCTTACCCACTATACTACACTACCTCTCATGGGAGTGATAAAAGAACATACTCTTGCCACCCCACCTAGCAACCTAGATAACTCCTAGTGAACCAGTCTGTAGCAGGGTGGCATCATCAATCTTGGCCCACCCAACCTTCAGATACCCACCAATGCTACAGAAGGATCCAAGTTCAGGATGTTCATTCGATGTGGGGATTGCAGGCAATGGAAAGTCTGGTCATCAACCATTCCATTCTCCTCAGTATCGACAAAGGTCTGGGTTGTGTGAGGGTCCAAGAAGATGAGCTCATCACCTGTTTTGAATGAGACATGCTTAACCTTCCAAGAATCACTGATCCTAGCACCACTGCTGCCCTCAGGAGAAGGCACTCTGGGGTTTTCTTAACTCTGCCCTTGGTGGCAATGACAATGGGATGACAGAAAGCCTGAAGCCAGGATGAGCATGCCTGAAGAAGCTACCAGAGCCCAAATTCAATCATTCAATGAGAAGACTTGCCCTAGGGTTTACATGTCCTCAAAGTTCAAGTCCCAAAATGGAAAGTGACAGGTTTAGGAAAAGGTGGGCATGAGAAACCACAGATGACATGGTAGGCTCTGTGAGCAGCAGTAGCAATGAGGTGGTTGGTAGAATCACCAGGCCCTAAGCCCAGGTTGCATTAAGGAGCTTTCTGCCTCTTTTAACATTGGAAAGCATCTCTCGCTAGACCATTGGTTCCCAGAGCTATGGTCAGAGAGCACCTCTGGCCAGGCAAATGACCTTGGCCTCCAAAAGAAATGCTACCCAGACAGAACAGGAAGGCTAACTGCTATGGATGAGATACCAAGGAGCTGACTTCTGGTCTTAATTAGCTACCAAGTTAGTAAATGTTAGTAAGTTAGTAACTCCTGTTGGAAAGCACTGCTTTTGTCACATAAACATCAGTACAGATGCATCCCACTGGGAAAACTCACTTTGAGATGATTGAACCTTTACAAATGAAAGAAAAGCCATGCTTCATTAAATTGAAAAAGCTTATCCAAATAATGACCTAAGTATTGGGAGGAGTTTGTGATAACAAAATTTCTAGTTTTCTCTGCTACTTAAAGGTCTGAGAGTTCCCCTAATGCTCATCAGAGGCATGCTAAGTATGCAAAAGTACCTAAGGGGGCACCCCAACCTCACTGTCCAGGCCTGGGGACCACCTGAGCTTCTGTGTCCTAGACTGTGTCAGGCAACCAAGAGAGATCTACCTGTGGCAGGAGAATGGGATAGGAAGGGTGCCCCAAAGACTCTCCCTGCAATGACATCCAGGATTGTGTTGGGCACCCCTAAATGCTTCTGTTGGAAAAGAGTATGTTCCTGAAGTCTGATGAAAAGCTTAACTTTTCTCTATCATAGATCTGGGACAAACCACTTAACTCACTCTCTGTCTTAATTTCTCTGTTTATAAACTGGGGTCATTGAGCCTGTTCTAGTTACCTCACAGGGTATTATAAGAAACAGGAGATTTCGCCTCTTTGAAATGTTTAAAACAATGCACATACAAAGTGGTCACAGAAGTATCTTACTTAGAATAATTTTCCTACAAATATATGTCCAAGAGTATATACAAATCAATGCCCCAATAAGACTTGCATTATAAAAGTCAAGGTACATGTTCCCCTAGATCACATCTCTCGTATTAAGAGAAGTCACCATGCCCAGAGAGGTGGGTGGGATGGGTTATATATAAAAAAAGACCCTCAAGTCACAACGAAGAGCAACAATCAAGTTGTTTAGAAGACAGCCTAGCTTAGACCATAGAAAGGTCAGAGGAAAAGGAAGTTGTGGACAAGAAAATGGAAAGTAAAAGTAGGGTTAGAACGAAGCAGTCTACCAGAGTGTTCTGAGTTAAGGTGTTAGGATTAATAACATCACCTTCTCTGACTCTGGCCAGGACCTTTTCCCAAGGGCGGGGTGTGTGTGTGTACTGGCGCTTTGCAGGCTGCCCCGTTTCTGAGAGTGTATGTAAGATGTAAAAATTCCTAGAAACGATGTGAAGACTAAACAGAGGCCTCTAATGAGGCCCAGGGAGAAGAGGCAGGCTGCTGAACCATCTGGAGACAGAGCTAACATTACAGATTTCAAAGTGGCAACTTATACCCAAGTGCAGGGAACAAACATCGTCTCTCTAAGCAGGCGAAATCTGACTGCCAGAGTCTCACCCTGGCCATATTCACCCACACCTAGAGCTTCTTCCAGCTTCCCACTGGGCAGGAGGGCCCTAGGGGAGTAATGTGGTGTGACAGAGATGGCCACATTGGGATTAAATCCTGGCTTCATTACTTTCTAGCTAGAAATAACCTCTCTTAATCTTAGTTTCACTATCTGTAAAATGGAAATAACACTCTCTGCCTCACAGGTGTGTTGTCAGGAATTAAATGCTGTAATACATGTGAGGCACATTGCAGAGTTCTTGGCACAAGATAGCTGTTCAATAAATGACATTCTGCCAATTCCTCCTGACATTCTGCCAGTCCAGACCTCCCAACCTCATATAGTGATGCAGCGAGTCAGACAAGGATCCTGGGGAGACTCTGGGGTCACAAGTGAAGGTTGCACAAAGGATTTATAAATGTTAACAGGCAATTGGGTCCTATGTGAACCTCTATCTTGGGCTATTTATTAAAGAACTAAGGATTGCCTCAACCCTCTTTAAGTCAGACTTTACAAAAGTTACCCCAACCCAGTGGCTTCTGGAAAGAGGAGGGCTATGCCAGCTTAGCAAATTCTCTCAGGGTGAGTTGTAATATGGGAGGCCAGGGGGTCAGGGAAGCATATACACTATTCACTGAGATCCCTCTTATTGTTCAGTCAGTGTCCACCTTGTCCTCAAGCACAAACAATAGGGAATATAATTTTGCAGGCTTTTAAGGACAAGAACCTAAAGTCTTAGAAATGGGACGTCAAAATTTATATAACTCTAAATACTGGTTTTGTACTTAGAAAAGCCTCTACCACGGTCTCCAGGTTTTCTATTAAACTGTAGTTCTTGTGACTGACCAATAGATGGCAGCATTTGAGAGAGCAGTGACAATTGTGTGGAAACAGCCCCGCACCCCCTCCATAGTGAGGAAGAAAGCAAACAAAGGAAAGAAATGTGGTGGGGCAGGCAGGATGGCGCTGCCTTTTAACCGAGTGCTTGCTATATATGCCTGGCTCTTTGCTGAGTGCTTTACTGTGAGATGACCACCCTGAGGCAATTGTTAGCCCTATTTTACATAAAAGGACCCTGAGACCCACGGAGTGTATAACCCTTTTCTATGGTCCTACAGCTAGCAAGTGTGGGGAGGAGGGGCGCGCATGCAAACCCAGGTATCTGTATCCATCTCAGCTCACCTCCCTGAATCTCCAATGAGATGGTTTGGGGAGGGTGACCAAGCCCATCTCCACCCTGTCCTATGCACATCCCCTCAGGCCATCCCCCCACCCTTGCACTGGCTCTCCGTCACTATCCACCAATCTACACTTGTAACTTCCTTGAGGACCAGTTTCAGACCATTCCACTCCTGTAAGAGGTATGTGTATCAACCTTCCCCAGCCACCTCATTCCCTTACTTCAGCACTAACCAGATCTCTAGGCTGGTGTGATTCCAAGTGTGGTTTGTGGACCAGCACCGTCGGCACCACCTGGTTAGAAATGCAGAATCTCTGGCCCCAGCCTAGACCTACTGAATCTGCATTTTACAGATCCCAAGGAGATTCCTGTGTACACCGAAGTTTGAGAAGCATCGGACTAGCTCACCTCGTGTGCCGAGGGCCTTAAATGTCTCCGGTCACAGCCGGTGGATAAGGTGGCTGGGTTGGTTGCCAGAGGCGCCAAACCATGCAGCAAAGGCCAGGCTGCTCATTAGGATCTGCATTAGGAAGTTAGTGGTTTTAAGGCGTATTCCTCATTATCAGGAGAGGGATACCTAGTCTTTGCCTCATCTAATTCCCACCCAGGATAATAAGCCAGCAGGCCCAGCTGCACGGGGCTGGGAAGCCAGAGGACTGCTCCTGGCCAATAAATGAGGTGTCGGCAAGGCTAAGGGAGTGAAATTGCTGCCCTGGGCCCCACAGGAAGAAGAGAGATGTGCTGGGGCAATGATGTGACCTTGGGGAGAGCCAGTGGAAAAGCAGCCGTGGAACCATCTTATCAAGAAGCAAGGAAGTAGAAGCATTGAAAGGGGACCTGCTTTCCGTCAGGCATGCAGAAGTGTCACTCTCCTTAGATCAGGTTGGAGACAGAATGGACTGACCAGAGGTCATGGCATCCATCCCTGGGCTAAACGGGGACCCACTAATGGAATTGCCTGGGCTCCCATGCAAACCTTTGCCCCCCTCTCCCCTGGCCCCCAATGACTTACTTGTGATTCCTCTTTTCTTACCTAAGAATCCTATGAAATAATAGGCGTTATTTGGTTTTCCTCCTAATGCCCCTAAAGACTGTGGCATCTTAAAACACTCCTAGAGGAAAAGAGAATGCAAGATTCTCAACTCACTTGTGGACTGCTGCTCACGGATCTCTGTGCTCACATGGAGGTGTGATGGACAGGTAGCAATGGGCTTGGGAAAAGGAGCAACTTACTTTGAATGCATCAACATAGACAGGGTTGATTTGATTTATGCCCAGGCGAAGGGGCACAATGAGCAGCAGGGGTTTCCAGGCTGGGCAGCATGCAGAGGTGCCCTTACTCTGGCTGGAAGCACTTGGAAAATCTGGGGGGTTTTCACCAACTGTGTCAGCACTCAAGGGAAAGACACAGCACATTTTTTCTAGAAACAGAAGAAAAGAGAGCTGGGTAAATAAGGAGTATCCAGCCCTAGAAGAGACTCAAAGGTAATACTAAGGGGGCTTCATATGACATGCCCTGCCTGGAATGCCCTCCACCCTGCCAACCAGGGAGTGGCTTTCCCCACCTCTTCCAGGAGGCCCAGGCCACTCCTTCAGCCCTCGCCTTCTTCAGTCTTCATTGAACACTTGCTTAGTTCCGTCAGATATTATTGGCTCATTGAGAGAATCTCATTTCTCAACTAGTCTGCAAGGGCCTTTGAGACAGGACTGTATCTTTAAGTTTCTCTAACCTCCATGGCATGGAGCCCAAGGCTGGACAAGGATAAAAACAAAACAAAACAAAAACAAAAAGTTGTCGTCCAGTCAATTCTGACTCATGGGGCCTGCACAAAAGACCTATTGGTGGTTTAACTGTTACTACGCACTTTAGGTCCTCGCAGGAAAAAAGGTTTGACACCTCACTGAGGGGCAGCAAGGACTCTCTCATTGTTTTCTCCCTGTCAGAAAGCTGAAAGGGAAGGGAAAAAAATGGCACAGGGAATGACTAACCAGAGCCTGTGCTCCCTTAAAGGGTCCCTGGGTGGTGCAAATGGTTAAGCGCTGGGCTACTAACCAAAAGGTTGGCAGTTTGAACCCAGCCCGAGGTACCTCAGAAGAAAGGCCTGGCGATTGCCTTCCAAAAGGTGACAGCCATGAAAACCCTATGGAGTGAAGCTCTACTCTGAAACACATGGGGTGGATGGCAACTGGTTTGGGTTTTTTGTTTGTTTGTTTGTGCTCCCTTAAGCTTAATGCTCTGGTGGGGTAGGCCAGAGAGACTTTCCAGGGCCCCCGATTTCTGAGTGGTGAGGAAGGAACTCATCACCCACCAACCGGGACGGTAAACAAGTTTGGGACTCACTGATATCTTCAATGACCACCGTGTTATCCATTGAAACATAAACAGCCAAGGAATTCCACTCGTCAAATAAAGCAAGTTTTCTGCAAAGCAACACACAATGAAGTTACAATTGGGGAAGATGGAAATATCAGCAGGAGGCAGTACAATTTATGCCAATGTCCCTAAAGTCACCGAATGCTGGGCCACAGAGGGGTTGGTGTTCACATCAGTGCTGGCTCCTTTGCCAGAGCTCTGAGACATTCCTTGCCCAGGGACCTTGAGAGTGCCCCAGTCACTGGATCTGAACCTCAAAAAGGAAACTGCTCTGCTTTACAAAATGGAAAGTCTACCTCACAAAAGGACCTTACTCCTATTGGACGAAAGGGGAAAGTTATGAATGCATCTGCTCCCAAGAGATTTTGTTTTCTTTTCTTAAATACAAGACATTCTGGCTCACTGCTTTAAAAAAAAAAAAAGAGAAACTATCATAAGAAAACGTATGTTTGTTTGGTAATTAGTAAAGAATGTCTGCCTTGAACATTGTGCACTTTTTAAAGAACTGTCTATAAGGGATCAAATTGACAACAGCAGCTCAAAAGGTTGGATAGGAAGCTTAGGGGGCAGTGAGTTTATGTCAATGGGGGAAGAACAATTTGGAAAAGGAGGGTGAGAATGGTTGCACAACTCGAAGAATGTAATCAATGTCACTGAATTGTACATGTGGAAATTGTTGAATTGGTGTATGTTCTGTGGTGTATATTTTCAGCAACAATAAATAAATAAATGTGTGTGTGTATATTTGCTTGGGAGCATAGATAATATGGAGAATAAGCCCCAGGAAAATGCAAAGAGAGGTACGGTCTCTTCCACCCCTCTCCACGTGCAGTGAGAATGCTGCTCAAGGAGACTTAGGTTAAAGATTGACTCTCTGTGGGGCCTGACTGATCAGCAGCTGAAGAGAGAACATGCTGAATGGCATGACTTCATGGGAGATTAGAAAGAAAATCCTTTTAAAAGAGAGATTATCTGAGGTCTAAGGGAAATACCCTGCCTATTCTCCTTTACCTTCTTCTCCTCTTGCCAGTCTGAGAAAAGACACCTTTAACCTGACTACTGCTGGGATTCTTGTGTAAAGCCCAGTGTCACTGGACAAAAGAAAAAAACATTCTCTCCCAAACCAAAGTAGCTCCCAGGAAGGGGTTAATTACCATTACATTTTTATTTCATTCATTTTAATTTATTGCCTTTCTCTCATAATAATGATAATGGTAGAGTACCCATAAAAATACCCATTGCCATTGAGTGGATTCCGACTCATAGCGACCCTATAGCACAGAGTAGAACTGCCCCACAGGGTTTCCAAGGAGTGGCTGGTGGGTTCGAACTGCCGGCCTTTTGGTTAGCAGTCAAACACTTAACCACTGCGACACCAGGGCTCCACAAGACAGCGTACAATCATAAAAAATTTATGTTTCTCTAGCTCAATTGGCATAACATAGTTTAGAAAGAAAACGTTCTACGTTCTACCTTGGTGAGTAGTGTCTGGGGTCTTAAAAGCCTGTGAGCAGCCATCTAAGATACTCCACTGGTCTCATCCCTTCGGGAGCAAGGGAGAATGAAGAAAACTTAAGATACGAGGGAAAGATTAGTCCAAAGGACTAATGGACCACAACTACCACGGCCTCCACCAGACTGAGTCCAGTACAACTAGATGGTGCCCGGCTACCACCATCGACTGCTCTGGCAGGGATCACAATAGAGGGTCCTGGACAGAGCTGGGAAAAAATGTAGAACAAAATTCTAATTCACACATATACAAAAAAGACCAGACTTACTGGTCTGACAGAGACTGGAGAAACCCCAAGAGTATGGTCCCCGGACACCCTTACAGCTCAGTAATGAAGTCACTCCTGAGGTTCACCCTTCTGCCAAAGATTAGACAAGCTCATAAAACAAAATGAGACTAAACGGGCACACCAGCCCAGAGGCAAGGACAAGAAGGCAGGAGGGGACAGGAAAGCTGGTAATGGGGAACCCAAGGTCAAGAAGGGGAGAGTGTTGACATGCCGTGGGGTTGGCCACCAATGTCACAAAACAATATGTGTATTAATTGTTTAATGAGAAACTAGTTTGCTCTGTAAATCTTCATCTAAAGTACAATAAAAAAAATCATATTTCTATTTGTTTGTTGTTGGAGACCTCAAAATTTTGAAGAAGCCAATTCTGAGAGATGTCATTTAAAAACCAAGGCAGGTTTTGGGCTCCACGCAGTCATTCTAATCTCTTACACTTTCTACCATGGGTTCCTACAGTTCTCCTTCAAATCCTGCCAGATTCTCACTTAGCAAAGAGTAAATCCGTGATGCCCAAAGGCACTACTTACAAAGGCAAGAAAGCGGTCTCAGAGATGTTGCAGTTAGAAAAGAGTAAAACCAAGATATAGGTTTTACTTGGGTACCCAGAGAATCCGGACTACTCCTCTCACACATACATATTTCCAAAGCATTCTAGTTCATTGCAGGTTGGCAAATAATTGAAACAGTGCCCCATCTGTACTTTGCATGCAGTACAGGTAGTCGCCGACTTAAGATGGGGTTCCGTTCCGAAAACTCCATCATAAGTTGGCTCTGATGTAAGTCGAATACCTCGTTTTCTTTTGTTTTCATTATTATTGTCTTTTATTATCAGTATCTTTATAAATCATAACATTGAACATCTGCAAGTGAACTTCTGTGAATGATAACATCAGCAAATTACGCTGCTGCAACATTGTGTGTAGTACATATTACTAACAATAAAATGTACCAAAAAAAAAAAAAAAAAAAAAAAAAACCCCAGACAGTCTTAAGTGCAGTCGGCATAACTCGAGTACTATGTAAGTCAGGGACTACCTGTAGTTCCTACAATACTGCTCCAGAGTGCCCAGGAATTGAAGCATGCTATACCAAAGGAGTCCAGATGGTTTCAATCTTCTTATCCCTAAATCTGGCCCCAGATTCTGGCTGCCATTTGCACTCCTTCATCAAATATTTATTGAGCACTTCTGAGTGACAGGCAGTTTTATATGCTAGTGTTACCGGAGTGAACAAGACAAATACAATCTCTGCCCTAATGGAATTTTCCTTCAGTGATAGTCTGTCAAGAAAGAGAGTGACCACAGGTGATGTGGCCTGGGAGTGAAGGTGCCAATGCCACTTACCCTATTCACTTTCAAAAAGTTGGTTCTGGCCGTTCCATCTCACCTCTTGTTGTGCGAGGTGAATTCTGGAATTTAACAGGACAACTGCAAAAGTATCATGGTGGGGTGCCTTGAGTCTGCTTGGGGTTTGTCTCCTGTAGTAGGTAGTGAGCTCCTTGAGGCAAGGACTGTGTCTAGTTTATTTCTATTTGCCCAACACTTAGCAAAGTGGAGGGACTCACTATATGTTGAATAAGTGAATCATTTTTTTTTATACTGTACAGGGTGGGAACTCATTTCTTGCCTAAGCTGGCTCAGCCTCCACCTCTTAGTACGAACTCTTTGGCTTCAAAGTGACCCCCAGGCTGATGGCTCCCTGGCAAGTGAGCAGCAATCTGTGGGGTGAGATACTGAATGATTCCTGGTGGACATCCACATATGCTGGTACAAATGAGTACAACTCTGATATACCAAGACAGATGTTCACACTTATGCATTTCAAAGAACTGGCTGAGCAAAATGGTACAGATGTTTGATGGCTTGCAGGAGGGGTGGCTTAGTGGGATTGAAAGAATAATTAAGCTGATGAGAGAAGAGTTGGCTGGGGAGGGAAGTATAGGAGACAGGAGAATAAGGCAGACACCAAACTGTTTTACTTACTTTAACACCTGTGCAACTGTATTTGGTCCAAACCATTCACCAATTGATTTCCCTTCTCCTACACCCATTTGTGCTGTTTTTATGTGGGAAAAAAAATAAACATGTTAGTAAAAGATCTTCCAGCAAACCACAAATTAATTTTTTTGCATAAATAACCAAGCAGATAGCTAACTTAGTAGAGCCACATATAAGGCAGGAGAAGAGAAGAAGCAGGTATAGGTATTGCCTTTAAACTGTTGATTTATAGCCTTACCCATTTGATGAATAGAGTAGCAACAGTCTTTTCTATCTAAGAAGCACTGGAGGATCCGTTGGTATTCTTTGGGTTGTTCTTTTTGTTTCTCCCAGTTCCAGTCTTTTTAGGAAAAAAGATGGTTTTAGAAATCATTTTTATAACTATTTATTACCTCTCTGCTGTTTTATTTTAACTATAAAGTTAGAAGGAAAACAAGGGAAGTCGGGAATGATCAAGCTAGAACATTCCTAAATAGCTTTAATTTTCATGATAAAGACATCTGGAAATTGATTACTTTCAAAGACTGAGTGGGTATAAAGTAAAAACAAAACAAGGAGTTGACCAATGAATTAACTTAGCCCAAGGGCTGGAGCTGGATAACTATAACATGAAAACACTGCATCACGAAGGCCTTTCTAGTCAGCTACTCGGCGAACAGGAGGTCACCACAAAGCCCGGCAGTATATCCATGTATAACCCAGACGCCATGGTGTCTCATCTCTACACAGACAGCAATGGCTTTTGTCCTTATATTCTGGCAGCACTGCCAAAATCCTCTCACAGGGGGAAGTGCTATTCTGACATACAACAGTTCACAGGGGACTATACATAATTCATAACTAAAGAAGCTTTAAAAAAAATGCATGCTACCATTTTTAACCACCTTTTAAAAGGTCCACACTGACCTTGGGAAAAACAAATACCTTTGCTATCAAGTGTTCAAGGTTTCCTTCAGACTAAAGCCAAAATAACTACATCTGTAGGGACCCCATCCATGCCTTAGGCACAGTCCCCCAAATTCTACAGAGGCCACTTATCACTTACTGAGGATAACTTAAAAAAAAACTACATAATCACTGCTCTGAACAGGATGCACTACTCCTATTCCCTCAGCTCAAGGAACTCTGTATAACTCTGAGGCTTAATTTGTTTCCAAGACATAAATTTCTCTCCTGAGGTTTTAGAGAGAGTTTGAATTAACGACTGAAATGTACTTGAAGCCAAAGGCCATTATCTCCAAAGTCTTTCAGTTTTCTTTTGCTTCTAGTATTCTGAAACCAAAGTTTTAAACGTCATATCCAACACAGTCTTCAGAGGGTGAACTACATACAACTTTTTCTCATTAGCTACCGAATCGTCCAAGTCTGGGAAGTCCTGATTAGCTGGCTGCTAAGTACCACTAAATAACATTTATTGATGACAGTGAAAAGTGAACACCCCACCTCAATTTTAAAATAACTGAACAGGAAACAATCCAAGATACTTTTTTTTTTAATAAAATTACATCTTATAATTCATCTTAGCTATAAGATCTATTTCCAAATTCTTCCTGCTACTTGTATTTATATTTAAATAACTGAGACTGCTGACTGTGGGGATTTTTGTCCAGTTTAGTCCCCACAAAACTCTCTCCAGAATAATCATCTTGAAGTGTTTTATAAATGAGAAAAAGTTACAGGAAGACTGGATCTGCACAAAGAAGTATGTGTGCCATAGAAAAATCACTGGACAAGAAACCAGAACTGAATTCTATTCCCAAATCTATACTTTCTCGCTCTTTGACCCTGAGCAAATCACCTCACTTCCCTGAACCTCAGTTTCCTCATCTGTAAAACAGAAGTTGTAATACTGCCCAGTGGAAGCAGGCATAGGATATTTGGTGCCATCAAGTCTTAAAGAGGGACTAAGGAGATCTCAGTGTTTCTTTGCTTCCTTGAAAAGAAGGGAATAAGCCCTCAAACCTCCCCAGACCCTTTCCCAATACTCTCTGACAACTGCAGCAAGATCTGTGAAGTTGCACAGTGGGGAGAAGGGAGTGATATTTCCATACTTCTAAACCTCAATTAGCAACAGCCAATACATTCAGCAGCCCAGTCTCATCCAAGGTGTCCTTTCACTTTCTCATCCCCAAGCTAAAATGGACTTTCACCCAAGTGCTTGAACTGGTATCCAGCCCAGGTCATCCTTCAGATGTCAACAGGGAAGTACACATATTTCTTAAGAAAGCAAGACTCAAGAGTTTCATTAAGAACTGGAAGGTTCTTAATGAAGTGGCCTCCTGAGAAAGCTAATTTAAGGATTCCTTCATCATCAAGTGAGCATCCCTAGTGAATCAAAACCAAAATAGCACCAGATCCCTCATTAGGCACTTCCTTTAGGTCACTTACATCCTTCACCAGGCATATATTTTAAATGAGGTCAAGAAACAGACTTACCATCACACCCTTCTTCCTGCTCACTTTGTTATCTGACATGTTTAATGATTCCCTGCAACAATAGCATAGATGGAAACTCTTCATGACACACCTGCCCCAAGGTTCAATTCTGTCCTAGAAAAAGAACTCTCTCTGGCTTGGTGAGTCACAAGGAAATACCAGCTGTTTCCTCTTAGGAGAGGCTTTGTTGACTTGTAAGGCCAGCCACTTGAGTGTTCAGAGAACATTTGGGGACCTGCAGCTTTGTTACTGAGTGTTCCTAAAGCTTAGCGTCAATGTTAAACTGACAGCAGCAAGTGACACTGCAGAGTCCTTTGAGGCAGTTTATAGGACAGATTTAACTCACCTCTTCCCAAGTGTCTGCAGATAAGGGCTTGAGCTAGCATCATCTGTCCACAGCGTAGCATACATCCCCAGCCAGCATCTGATGAAGGGCCAGTTCCTCCTGTTGGCAAAAGGGATGAGAATGAATATGGGTTCCTTAAATTGCCCTTTCCCTAAACATCAGCATATTTGGGAATCATTCACGATAAGCAAACACACATATTCTGCAAAGGGAGGCAAGAGATATATCCAGAGATCAAAGAGAGTTTAGGTACAGAGTTGGAACTTGCAAAGATAATGCTGATTTAAACAAAAGGGGTTCTAGGGCTAAAGACAAAACGAACAAAACTTGCCCCTTAGGTTTTCTGCTTGGAGATTTCTAGGTATGCATGCAATTTTGGTAGATGAGTGCCAAGTATAGCTACTATCTCTTAGTCCATCCCATTTCATCATCTGTCTGACCAAATCTTGCCTCGCACATTTCATTTCCACGTTCCCGAATTTCTCAGGGAAGCCCATCTCACCTTAGTTAGGAAACAAATGCTATCAAAGAAAATCGTCAAAATGGTCGAAGGTATTTGGAAGGCTCTTGACTATTCTAAATATACATTACAAAGGTCTGAACAGCAAGAAATGCAATGTAAAATAAAGGGAAGAGCACTCGATTAGGCATCAGAAGACCAGTCTCTAGTTATCTGATCCAAGTCTCATCTATAGACCGGGGTTCAGGACACATACCCTGCCTACTACAAGTGGGTGTTATAAGATTAAATGAGAGAATATTTGTGAAAGTATTCTACAGCCCACAAAGAATGATGCAAATATTTGGTACTATAATTATGGGTACAATTAAAAATAATATTAATAAATCAGAAATGTATTACATCTTAGAAGGTACAAAACCAGTTAATAAATGAAACGAGATGAAGTGTTCCATTTTAAGAACACTTCATGTAAAGAAAATCCCATGTATGTAGCCAGAATGAGCTCAATATCGTTTCTCAAAGTACCGATGAAATCAGACAAATTGGATGGCAGAGGAGACATTTTGCTGTAATGGATTTCGTTTCCCAAAATAGAAATGGAAAAGTATGATATAAGCATGATTTCAGAAAAGACTAACTTCAAAGGGGGTCATCAACCTTGTAAGACAATTGGACCAAGGTGGCCACCCCTTTCCTTCTGTTTTGGGTCAGGAGAGTTGTTACAGCAAGATGGGGAAGACTGAGCCAATTTGTGAGCTGGAAAGGGAGCCCTTTGGCTCTTGCTAATGGTGGAATTATAGACCAGATTAGTATGGAAAAGGTGCAATGGGGCCCACATAAAGAAGAGATCATTTATTGCCAAAATCTTGGCAAAGCTGAACTGCAAATGTTTTCCACCTCTGCAAAGAGCTCCTCACCCAAAGTAAGTTAACAGTTTAGAACCAGTGGGTAATACATTATTCTTTTGTTTGCTTTACTGCTTGGGTAATTCCTGTGGAGAACAAAAAATGTCTTTGTGGACTTCATTTTTGGCAGTTATTAGAAAGGTTGATTTCGCTCTAGTTAATAGGGCCAGTCCTGCATCAAAATGGGTCAAACAGATTTCCACTTTGGAGTGTAGCTTCCACCATTTGAATTTGGTGACCTTTTCTGACAGGGCTATGATACTAAGAAGAAGCCATCCTACTTGTAAACATTTTACAAATTTTCTCTAGAGAGAGCATAATCACTTAGTTTATTAAGCTGTTGTTTTTCTAGAAGGCAGCTGGTACTCTAACAACTTAGAATTAATTCCAAGGAAATCTTTATCCCCCAGTGGCAAAGTACCTTCATTTCATAGGGAAAAAAAAAATCAAAGGAATTATTTCCTTTCTTTCAAGGCACAACGGTAATCAAGTAACCCCACAAAGCAGTAGATTGTAATTTAATAGGTATTACCCAAATTAAAGGTTTATTCGAATTTTTTCTTTGCTCTCAAACATAAAACAAGTAATATTATCTAGTGCCTGAACACTTGGAAGTGGGCTCAAAAATATACTGGCATTGCACATTAACACTATGGAGCCACACATGATGAGGTACGTCAGCAATGAAACCTTTTAGATGAAGTGTAAGAGTTACTTACTCCCCTAAATTAAACTCTTTGCCATAGTGAGCTGATAATTCTGAGGTTTCTGTGAAGTCACTGACACCTCAGGCAAGCTATCTATGAGGAAGAAAGCACAGTATAACAAATGATATACCTACCAATTGGTGAAAATTTCCTTCTGTATGTAAACCATAGACGAGCACTTACATCAGACAACAGCTTAGATCTTTCTGTAATTAAATGTGAAATTAAAGTTAAATCACCAGATGCCACCTAAAAATATCTGCCTTTGATTTCTGGGCCAACAACAAATCAACTCATTTTCAAATAACCAGTCAATTCTATTGGTATGGGGCCAGGAAAATTTGTAGGAAACCCAATCTCATTTTAGCCAAATAATTTCAGTAGTTCCCCCACCTATGTTTTGACCAGAGCTACTGACTGGTACAATGATGCTGGGTGGTTCCTGTCTCCTCACTGAGCTCTACTGCACTGGCAGATACTAATACTGGGGTCACAGCCAAAAGACAAGGAATAGGAAAAGCAAGAATCCTAGATAATCCACTAACAAGGCAATCAGTTGTTGAATGATGACGGTTGATTGGATTTCTTATTGGTACCCATTGTTAGTTAACTAAAACTAGATGTATGTGTGTGTATGTGTATGTGTGTGTGTAACTTAAAAGGAAATCTCCCTGCTAAGCAAATGAAATATATAAAAAATTAATCCATAGTATCTAGTAGAACAGGCATCTGTAATCTAAATGGATGTAGAACATCACAAATGATTTTGTGTCTTTTTCTTGTATTTTATGACATAAATTGACTTTGACGGTCACAAATATGACTTCTACATTTTCATCTGTTCTTTGATGTGGTTCTATTTTTCCTGCTCTTATGTATAGAACTTATAGCCATTGCACTTTAAAAGAAGAGAGGGAAATTTAAAGTTTTACCAATAATTTCTATTTTCTTGCCTGCCTTTCCTTTAAACAAATCAGAAAGTCAAGCTGTTTGTATTTCCCCTCCCCTTCACATCCCCAGTGCCTATCACATATTGGGAAACAGACGTATGATGGTTAAGAGTAAGACTTCTAGAGTCATACTCTGCCTAGGTTTGAACCCTGACTCTGCTACTTACCAGCTGTGTAATCTTTTTATATATATATACACACACATACATATAGATATATAATTTATTTTACTTTTTTGTTGTTGAGAATATACACAGCAAAACATACACCAATTCAACAGTTTCTACATGTACAGTTCAGTAACACTGATTACATTCTTCGAGTTGTGCAACCCTTCTCAACCTCCTTTTCTGAGTTGTTCCTCCCCCATTAACATAAACTGACTGCCCCCTAAGGTTCCTATCTAATCTTTCGAGTTGCTACTGTCAATTTAATGCTCAAGGCAGACATTCTTTACTAGTTAAACTAAACTATTGTTTGTTTTTAAGGAGCTTCAGGGGATATTTGTGGTTTAAGGTTTAAGATTATCTCAGGGCAATAGTTTTAGGGGTTCATCCAGCCTCCATGGTTCCAGAAAGTCTAGAGTCCATAAGAATTCCAGCTGTGTAATCTTGTCACTTAACCTCTCTGAGCTTCAGTTTCCTCATCTGTAAAATGGGGCAAGTAATAACACTTGTTTCATAGAGCTGTTGTGAGCATTCAACAAGATAATACGTGTAAAGTGCTTAGATGGCACCTGGCACACAGTAAGCTTGTGATAAATGTTAGCTGTTATTACATACCCTTCCTTCAAATGCTTACACCGCTCACTCCTTCCTCTGACATTCTCTACTCCTTCCAGCTTGCCTTAGGCTAGAAAGGCTAGGGGAATAATTCTAACAATAATTTCACTTTGGAAGGCATTCCCCAACATAGCATTTGAATATGAGCATATTTGGCAACCTGGGGATTCATATTGTCATGGATTGCAGAACTAGAAGAGTTGGTCTCCAATCCCCTCACTTTACATACTCATGAAAGAAGTTAGACCCAGAAAGATAAAGTAACTATTCTAAGATGGAAGAATCTGAATACAGGTCTCCTAATTAGCAGCCCTGGGCTCTCTCCACCATTCACAAATCTCTATATACATTAATGAAGCCAGACTCAGGAGAACCAGAAAATGCCTAGTTTCTTCTCCTGCCCTTTTGATCAGCTTCTTCTTGTTCTCACTCTATGTATGCTAGGGTCTCTGAAGAGGGTCTCTCCTCAGACTGATAGAAACCTCAGAGAGGCCCCTTTCCAAGCTCTGGCTTTGTGTGGATGCTGGGTCACTAGCAGTTTTAGGTTAAAAGGGCTTTCTCAGTCTATAAGAATGTGAAGGTAAGGAAGACAACTCCAGCCTCCTTTCTATCTAGCTGCAGTGACTAAAAGTTCTACACAAAACCAGAATAAACTGAGAGCTACAGTCAGCAAAAGATCTCAAACTTCTCGTTTTTGACAGCCATGGACTGTTTAGAAGTCCCCTAGGTGGCAGCGTTTTTATCTGGACAGAAAAGAATGTGAGAGGCATGAGCGGTATGTAGCATAGTCACCAAAGACTAGATACAGATTAGTGATACCAGGAGTGCATCTGTGTTTTCTGAAATCCAAGGCTCATCGAATTTGGGGTTTCTCCTTTAAGGAAAACAATAAAAATATCTTACGTTTGCAAATTGTACAAAAATCTATGTGACCATATAAACATACTTCTAGGGTCTTTCAGGGCCTTTGAAGGGGCTCATGCAAGCATGGAGCCTGAGGCTTAAGCTAAATTGGCTGCAAGGTAAATCCACCTCTGAGTAGCATTAACATTGATCAAGACAATGCTATGACAACCCAAGGAGATAAAAAGCATAGGACTTTAACCTCAGGCTCCCACCTCATTTGAGTTCTCACAATCATATACCACCAAACCTTACCCGTCTTAAGGAGATGCTGCTTCCCTAAGATCCATACCAGCTCATCTGTATCTGGAAATTCTTCTAAGTAGTCAGTGAAAATAGTAATCTGGTTTTCATACTTGGATAAAACTGAAAGAAAAGGAAAGAAACTTAAGCAAAATTTACTAGAAAGGGGGCTTGCTTTGTGGTTTACTTTGCCTTGAGCGTGAAAGGTCATCAGCTCAAACTGTAATGGAAGCAAATCATTCTTGAACAAAGATACTCACAAGGCCTCAAAATCCTTTAGTAGAGGGATTTCTTCTTGACCATCTCTTTTTTTGTTGTTGTTACAATTTTATTTTTTATTGTTGTAAAAATATATATAACACATTTGCCAATTCAATGGTTTCACATGTACAATTTAGTGATATCAATTATATTAATCAGCCCTGAGATAATCTTTAAAACTTAAACCAAAAATATCCCATGAAGTCTTCTTGAAAACAAATAGATCAGCTTAACTAGTAAAAAATTTCTGCCTTGAGCATTGCACTCTTTTAAGAACTATCTATATGGGATCAAATTGACAACAGAAACTTGAAAGATTAGATAGAAACCTTAGGGGGCAGTGAGTTTATGTTAATGGAGGAGGATCAACTCAGAAAAGGAGGGTGAGAATGGTTGCACAACTCCAAGAATGTAATCAATGTCACTAAATGGTACACGTAGAAACTGTTTAACTGGTGTATATTTTTCTGTATATATTCTCAACAACAAAATAAAATTTTAAAAACGTATTAATCATGTTTGACTATCTCTTTCGATCTTCTCTTTCTCATTGTCACATCTGGCACTATATCTAAACAACAATTTGACCACAGTTACTTTAAATCTTTTTTTTTTTCCAATGTGGACATCTTTGTAAATAGCCACTTATCTATCTTCTCCTAGCACAAGTGCATCAAGGTGATACAATAATACCTGCATACTTGCTGCTGGCCCACATTACATGGAGTATTGTTTCTAGCAGCCAGTGGATTGGAAGCTTGAAATATTTTTTTACAGTATTTCTATTTGCCACTTTATTCACATACGGCTTCAACAAAGAAAGATTTTGAGGATGATGATAAAGATCACTTGTTTTTCAGATTCACAACTGACTACAGTTATCTCTCAAGATAAAGTAACCCAATAAATATAATTAAATCCCATTAGTTCACAGGCCATACTTTCAGAATGTATGACCTTCTAATATGGTAGTCCCTGGGTGGCACAAATGGTTAAGTGCTTGGTTACTAATCGAAAGGTTGGCAGTTCTAATCCACCCAGGGGCGCCTCCAAAGAAAGCCCTGGAAATCTATTTCCAAAGGGTCACAGTCATTGAAAATCCTACGGAGCACAGTTCTGTTCTGAAACAGGTGGGGTCGACACGAGTCGGAATCAACTCAATGGCAACTGGTTAACGTGTACTACCTGTGGGGAAAGGGTCTGCTGAAAGAGTCAACACTGACTTATGAAGTCAGTCAACACTGACTTATTTCAGAATTTTTTTGAAAGTGATTTTCTGAAAGAAATAATATTTTAGGTAGTAAGTAAGTTTGCAACACAACCCACAAAAGCCTATTTTAACCTGCAACCAGAAAAATAAAATTGATTGTATATTTCATAGTTTATGGTGCTATTTCTATGAGAAAACATATTTCAAGTTCTAAGCTAAGACACCCAGCACGCACTTTCTCCTCCCAGCTCTGGAGGCTCCCCAGACAGTAGGGGGAGGAAAGTTCAGAGAGATTGGCTATGAGTAGCTGTATGGACTCTCCCAAAGTAGAACCTAAGAGCCCTATGAGAACAGTTTCCTGGGCAAATAAATAGCATTGTGGGATATGTTTAACTCACTTGAAATGACAAATTGTTTTGTTTTTGTTTTCTTAGGTGAGAATATGTTGTTTTCATAGAAATAAATATCCCTGTATATAAATGAGTCTTATCTGATCATGAAAATAAGTTCACCTGCTCAAAATATTTTGTTGGAAGTTGAAGTTATAAGTTGTATGAGCACTTTAAAAAACCCAGAGATACTGCCTTTTTTGAAACATATTACAGAATTCCAATCTCAGGGGTGGGGGGGGGTGGTTAAGTAGCATTTCTTCTCAATAAGTTTTAATTATTAAGGTTACAGTCTCTGCGATATTTCAAACCTAAAGAAGTTATGAGTGCAACAGCCAGATTGAATGGACACAGGAAATCCGGGGTGGAAAGGAAGAGTGTGCTGTCACAGTACAGGGAAAGCAACTAGGCTCACATAACAATGTGTATATAAATTTTTGAATAAGAGACTAACTTGAATTGTAAACTTACACTTAAGGTACAATAAAAAAATAAAATCAAACTAAATGAGACAGCCATTTCGTTCCCCAGTGAAAATTCACCACTACTGAATCTGCCAGGATGCCTGTGTTGTCTTAGCCTCTCTGCTGCTGGCCTCAGCTTCTGGCCCATGCCCAGGAAATACCAGGCTAAAAATGATCACCCAGGTCAGGCCATCCCCAGGAGGTGACGGACCCAGGCAGGGAAAGTCACACTGTGTACCTCCCCACTCTACCCCCTGCCCCTCACAGTCAGAAGAAATCAGGTTAAAATGAACATTAAGTGTAGCCCAGAAAGAAATAAATTCAGAAAATAAGTAGTTTGAGGGGAGTGGAGGAAAGTGGGAGCCTCTCTGGCACTGACCTGGTGGGGAGTCAAAGGGTGGCATTGGCTGAATGTACAGCATGTATGCATATAAGTCTTGAGCTTTTTTTAGTACTGGCCAAAAAAACACCATTTCTCTATTGCCAACCCTGTCCCAGTGAGTCATTGCCCAGCTATCTGGTCAAATTAGGACAGCCCCTTAAAGCCTGTGAAAGCTTCCCTGCTTCATTTGAGATGGCTCTGACCAAAATGGTAGCCAAAGAATTTTATTCTTGCTCTTAATCCCTTCTCAGGCCTAGCTATCATTCCTGATTCTCCTCTTAGAAGGTAGACTCCCAGAATGCAGTATGTTGGGCCTGAGTCAAAGCCACATGTATGAAACAAATGAAAGGCAGAATAGGAAAATGAGATTAACAGAAGCAAAGAGCAGTGAGGTAGGGAGATTATACACAGAGGGTCTGAGGAGGAAAGAGAATTAGGTCCTACACAAGGAGACCTCAGAGAGGTGAAAAAGCAATCTGGGAAGTGGCTGAGGTGCAGAAGTGAAATCTCATTTCCAACACAATCAATTCTGACTAACAGTAATCCATTGTTTATTTTTTACAAACTATATTTTCTCTTGCCTTATAAAATTAACAAACCATATATCAGCCTGATATGAGTTCCCTGCCCTTTCAGCCTCCTTAAAGAGATAGAAATAATACGGTAGAGTTACAAATATTCCAGTCTGGTGGACCAAGAATTAGCTTCTACAAGGTCTGATGGACAACAGGTTTCCCCTTGTTCCATTTTACTTTAATAATAAGTATTGTTTCCAAAAGTTGTGTGATAGATATATTTACAACAACAACTATAAAAAAAAATAGTAGCTGCTGAGGCTGCTTATGTACAACCAAACACCTCATGAAATTTGGTCCCTTGGTTTGGATATTTAGGATCATGGTTTCATGGAACATCCCAGTTAATTGCTCTAATAACGTGTTTAATGCTTCTGTTCGACCTCCTTGTTCGTTGTGCAGTGCCTGGGGTCTTAAAAGCTTGCAAGTGGCCATCCAAGACACAATTGGTCTCTATTCACTTGGAGCAACAGAGGAAGAAGGAGAGTCAAGAATAGGAGGAGGATATGAAATGTGTGGCTAATTGCCTCCATGAACAACTGCCACATTTGCCATGAGACCAGAAGAACTGGATGGTGCCCAGCTACCATCACTGAATATTTTGATCAAAGATTCTATAGAAGAATCCTGATCAGAAGGGGGAAAATGCAGAATAGAATTTCAAAGTCTCATGAAGCCATGGAGGCTGGATGAACCCCTGAAACTATTGTCCTGTGATAATCTTTAAACCTTACACCAGAAATATCCTCTGAAGTCTTCTTAAAAACAAACAATAGTTCAGCTTAACTAGTAAAGAATGTCTGCCTTGAGCATTATGCTCTTTTAAGAACTATCTATATGGGATCAAACTGACAACAGCAACTTGATAGATTAGATAGGAACATTAGGGAGCAGTTATTTTGTTAATGGGGGAGGAACAACCCAGAAAAGGAGGATGAGAATGGATGCGCAACCTGAAGAATGTAATCCATGTCACTGAATTGTACATGTAGAAACAATTGAATTGGTGTATGTTTTGCTCTGTATAGTCTCAACAACAACAAAATAAATAAAATTTTTTTAAAGTATTGCTTCATACAATTGTCTTTTAAATGAAACAGGAGAAAAAAGAGTTACAAGAAAAAATACATTTATCCTGTCTTTTATGTTTACCTACGTAGTTAACTTTACTGGTGCTCTTTATGTCTTCATGTGGATTCAATGTACTGTCTAGTGTCCTTTGCTCCCTTTAGCATTTTTTGTAGGGAAGGTCTACCAGTGATAAATTCTCAGTTTTTGTTTATCTCAAAATGTCTTAATTTCTCCTTCATTTTTGAAGGGTAGTATTGTCAGACATAGAATCATTGGTTAACAGTATTTTTCTTTCAGATCTTTGAATATGTCATCCAACTGCATTCTGGTCTCCATGGATTTTGATGAAAATCACTATTAATCTTATTGAGGATCCTTCATACTTGATGAGTCACTTCTCTCTTAATGCTTTCAAGATTCTCTCTTTGTCTTCGGTTTTTGACAGTTTGATTATGATGTGTCTAGATGCAGATCTCTTAGAGTTTATCCTACTTGGAATTCATTGAGCTTCTTGGATGTGCAGATTAGTGTTTTTCATCAAATTTGGGAAATTTTAAGCCATTATTTCTTCAAATATTCTTCCTGCCCATTCTCTGTCTTCTCTCCTTCTGGGACTCCCATTATTCATATATTGGTATGTGTAATGGTATCCCACAGATATTTGACACTCTGTTTATTTTTCTTCATTCTTTTTTCTCTCTGTTCCTTAGATTGGACAATCTCAATTGACCTGTCTTCAAGTTCACCAATTCTTTATTGCCTGCTCAAATC